TCTTTTTCTTCTTCTTCAAATAGCTGTGAAGCAAAGACCAATATTTACGGGCATTTGGGGAGCGACCCGGCTCACTGAGGCGTTCCTCCTGCTGCGGGGTTTAAGTGCCGGGAGAACTCAGCCTTTCCTATTGGCTGACAGGAGAAATGTCAGGCCACAATAATGCTGCAGGTTATCAGCGCCTCGTTCCCAGAGAAGAACAAATCCAGAAGGAAAAAACAGCCTCTCTTTGATAAAACTTTGGGAGTGATCTTCACACCTGCTTCCAATGACGTAGTGACTTTGGTCTGTTAGCTTAAAGTGCGCTTGAGTGTCGCTAGCAGAGAAATTTCACTTTAACAATATGAGAATTATCAAAGACGATTGTGTGGTACGTTAGAAAGGTGAATTTTTGTGAGTTACTGCGGGCTTACGATGTATTATCAACAAGAAATATACTAGGAAAAGTTACAAATGAATAAGCATATTTTATCTGAGTGAGTATATTTTTATCATATCGATTTATCTTACAGTAAGACAAACTGATGTTGTTACCTTTATCTTTTCATTTTAAGTCACAATGAAACTGAATTTTGTCACATTCATCTGAGAGTAGCGGATTCGTTCACAACAAGAGAACATAGATAGGGTGATTTTTTCATTTCATGCCACGAACTTATCAATAACCAAACATAACGGGTTACTCTGAACTTTTTTTAATATGGATGTTTCTGTACTCGTATCATGACCTGTTCTTATGACTCATCTTAAGAAAGTCTGCGTTCTGTCTGAAATCAGTGACACAAGCTTAATTTTAGGCTCTATAGACCCTAGAGTCACAGGATCCTGATCTTTTCTTTTCTAAACGTGAGCCTACTTTGCTCCTACAGTGAAAGTAAAGTAAATGGGTGACATTCACAAATAAAAATAAGAAGTTCTGAGCACATTGAGTTCAGTCAGTAAATGTTCAGTGTGTTCTTATGTTAGTGGCAGTGTTAGGAGCAATGGAGGTCACTGGCACTGTTCCTTATAAGCCCGTTTTATATATATATATATATATGTATCTGTATGTATATATTGCCGTTTAAAGGTTTGGGATCAGTAAGAATTTTCATGTTTTTTAATGAAACCTTTCTGCTCATCAATGCCGGAAAAATGAAAAATTGTGAAATATTACTGCAATTTAAAATAACTGTTTTTTATTTTAACGTACTATAAAATATAATGTATTTCTGTGATGCGCAGCTGTATTTTCAGCATCATTACTCCAGTCTTCAGTGTCACGTGATCTTCAGAAATCAGTATAATATGCTGATTTATTATCAGTGCTGAAACTGTTGCTGCTTCATATTTTTTTTGGAACCTGTGATACTTTTTTCAGGATTCTTTGATGAATAATAAGTTAAAAAGAGCAGCATTTGTTCAAAATAGATTTTTTTTAAAGATATACACTACTGTGCTTCATATTTTTTTTGGAACCTGTGATACTTTTTTCAGGATTCTTTGATGAATAATAAGTTAAAAAGAGCAGCATTTGTTCAAAATAGATTTTTTTTTAACGATATACACTACTGAAGACTGGAGTAATGATGCTAAAAATAAGCTTTGATCACAGGAATAAATTACATTTTAACAGAGATTCACATACAAGCGCGGCGCAGACACATGAAACTTTCAGTGAGTGAAAAGTCTTACATTTAGTTGTATCAAATTTAAGGCCATAAGAAGTCTTAAATGGTACAAGAAAGTCTTAATTATGATTTCAGGAGGTCTTAAACTTGGGTACGGCAAGACAAGAATTGCAATATAGCATAATGTGACGGTTAAACTTCAAAAGGCGATGATTTCATTGAATAAACACCAGTGCTGCATTTCAAAGTCACGTGCTGCTTTGTTTACAGCCGTTACCAGGGAAACCGCTGTATGTCTGCTGCTCCGAAAGCGCCTCCTGCTGGCAGAGAATCAGTGTGCAGTTTAATAAAGCCGTCTGCTGTTTTTGTTCAGACCAATGTGAAAATCAGCCCGTTTTTATGCAGCAAACACGCAGAGCTGTAAATGTGAACTAGTGGATCGACAAGAAGATGATGCATTATAAAAATATATACAATTAAGACAGTAACAAATATGTATATGTTATTTAATTAATAGACTATAATATTTGATTGATAGTAATTGTTTAAATTAATATCATAATTTATACTTTTGCCTCTATTTTTTTCTTTTTCTTTAAATGCTGAAACTTTTTGTCTTTGTGAAAACCTGTATCTGAACGCTAAATCATGCTTTTAACAGTAATTTTAATGTTATTTGTGCAGGTCTTAAATATGAGCTTAAATATCCTGCAGATACCCTGGTCTGGCAAAAACTCAATTCATGTTTTTAGGTAGGCCTATATAAATGTCCGGACCTCAAGCTATTTTAGTTGAAGACCCCTGGTGTATATCCTTCACTTGCTATAGATACATATGCATATGAGATCTCTCTTTTTAAAATACATAATATTGTTTTCATAGTTTGTAAATGGCGAGAAAATAAATCCTGTTAATCATCTGTTTCTAGAAAGAAAAAAATGGGTTTCTCAAACCATTTTTATTTGAACAGCACTTCATCCCAAAAATTCATTTAAGAGTTAAATATCCAATTGGCTCCACATTTGCTGTAAATAAATCAATAAAAATCCTCATGCGTTTAGTCTTCTTTATATTTAAAAATAAATGACGAACACTAGGCTTATATGTTATGTGGGCTCAGGTTCACTTTGTAATCAAACTGACATTAGTTATGCAGTATCATTAGATAATCATATAATGCCGAGCTCTCTGGACAGTGATTTTCTTATATTGCTGTTTATGTTCCGTGCGTTTGGATGATCGCTCCGCTGCTGAGGAATGCTCCTTGAGTTTGCTGTCGGGAGCGGAAATACGCTTGTAAGTGTTCGTGTTTTTACCTCACAGGCTGGAGACTCAGAACCAGGCGCGTCTTTTATTAAAAGCATATCTTTTCTGACGTGGAGGAGATTGTAATATGGCACTTTTCCATTCCTCTATTGTGATTGGCTGTTGAAAGGGGTCACACTGCCATGGCTTGGCCGTTTTCTCCATATGGAAGGTGTTTGCACAGTCTATCGTACACCCGTAGCGCAGTGCCTTCACCTGTGTTTTCTTTCCAAAACCCTCTCAAAACATTCCTGGCATTATGTGGCATGCAGAAGTCCAAACACGAGCTGATGGTTGATTGGTCAGCCGTGCACTCGTGTATATTTTGATTTAGGAAGACTAAGCAGATGCTAGTCTCTCAATCAGCCTGAAGTGGCCTGAAAATCTACATTTTGTGGAACAGTATGTGAAGAATCATCTGTTATTGTGGCCTGTGGTCGGGTAAGGCCTGTTCACACCAGATGCTAATGTTCAGGGCAAGGACACTTAAAAATAGAAATATTCACACGGGGTATCAGGTATGAGCGTTCACATGGCAACAGGCCAACAGTTTTTATTTTTTTCTATGTTGAGCTGTCAGATTTTTTTTTTCTCCTTGGACTGTAAAGACAACTGCCCTGCCAATGAGATGTTTTGATTACTTTTACACAATCCACTGCATTAGTGGCACTAAAGATGTTTTGTCAGCAGTGTTGGACAGTAACTAGTTACTAGTAACTAGTTGCAGTAATATTACTTTTTGCAGTAACTAGTAGTGTAACTAATTACTATTAAGATTACAGTTACCATCCATAAAACAGCTAGTTACTTTTGATGCCTCAACCCCTACTGATTTGAAATCCAATAATTGCTAGATTTATTTTCATAGTTCTCAGGACTCGCACATGACGTCACCTGTGCATCAGGAAAGCTTGGAATATGGAAAAGCTTACATTCAGGGGATGGAAATATTGGCATTACGCTGATTTAGGAGAAAAGCTGATCTGAGCACTGATGTGGAAGCTGTGGAAACTTTACTCTGGTATTACACCATCATCCCTCTGATCCCCATATTAATTATATTACTATAATTAAACATCTTATGAACTTATGTGATTTCTTCTGATAAAATACTTCATGAAATATAATCATAAATGGGTCACCGAGAAAGTATAGCTACAATTAGCTTCAAGCTTTTATGGGGAAGAAACGCATGAAGGAAAAGTAATGTAACTAGTAGTGTAACTAATTACTGTTGCCAGAAAGTAATAATATTACTTTTAAATAGTAACGAGTAATAAATTACATTTTTGGCGTAACGAGCCCAACACTGTTTGTCAGTATGGGCTAAAAATGTACTTTATATTTTGCAATGTGACTTTAATTTAGTTTGATCAAATTTAAGACCCAAAAAAATCATAAATGTCTTTAATGGTATATCAGAATTCTTCATTATTATTTTAAGAGCTCTTAAATTTGAGAACAGAGAAACAGGAGTTGCTGATGTGATAAGGTGATCATTTAATGAAATAAACGTGAGTGCTGCACATGTAACATCCAAACGTGCTTGGCCTTTCAGAGCAGTTTAATATCAACGAGTACTGTGCATTTATGCCAAGCGATTGCAATTATGACACTTTACGGTACAATGTTGTAATATTTTAGCGGCCTCAAGAATAATAACAATAATTACTGTAATTACTTTTATTTATTTAGACACAAAAATATTTGTATTGCCTTTCTTTAAAGGCATTATTATAGTGTCGGCAAAATCCAATATCGATCAACCTCTAACTGGTATGTATTTATATATTAGTACATGAACCAATTCATTACATTTTAATTATGTGGGTGCCCCACCCTATTTAATTAAATAAAAGAATCTGAAATACATGACTTATTATGAGATGGTATGAGTTAGTTCTGTACGGAAATACAGGATTAATAAAAGTCTATATAAATATAAATTATAAAAAAAGCCTGAATGTGGCACTTTGTTACCGATCAGCTGCTGCAAACGATTGTGATTTTTAAACTCTTATGTGATCGTACATGTGCACACGACAGAGATTTTAAGTGTGTCTGTCTGCTCTTCTGTAACTACAGACTCAGGAGAATGAGGATCTGCGACGAGCCCACGCCAAACATCACGACCGGCTGCGTGTCATTCAGACCAACTACAGAACGATGAGCGAGCTGCTGAAGGAAGCTGAAGACACCCGGGACCTGTGAGCACGTCCTGTTTACATAATCATATGAGTGCAGTGTCATTATCCCTGGCTTGTTAGTTTTGTATGAATCCAAGGACCCATCTCTCAATACTTCGATCACTTTCTCTAGACTCTCTCTCACCGTGCAGCTCAGCAGCAGGCTCTGTGGATAAACTGTGGATCGCTTTGGTGCAAAATGCATTCAGCGACTACATCTTTCAAATTACATCAATTCTTTACCTACAGGCCAATCTGCACGTTTTCAAAACTCTCTAACTTAAGTTGAAAATCTTACATAATTCAAAAACGAATAAGACAGCAGTTTTCTTCATTTCTACAGTAATATTGTATTGGGTCATGCAGTGAGTTCTGAACAGTAGAGAGTGCCATTCTTGTTTTGTAAAGTGACAAAGTGTGTTGAGTGACGACCTTTGCTAGAATTATGAAACAGAGACTTGATTTAAAAGCTGTTAGGATAGACATCTCTCAGCTTTGGTTTCTCGGTTGACACACGCACAAAAAAGAAAAAAGTAGAGTTACTGGACATTCAGCATCGTCTCCCGGCCCTGCTCTGAGCTCTGAAATGCAACACATGCTTCGGCTCTCACGAAGAGGAGTGCAGAAGTACTTCATCCTGAAAAGACCAAGGTGACTGTTTATATCGACAGAATAGAGAGGAAGAAAAAAGCGTGGGGAAAGTTTGAGAGAAAAGGTTTTGATTCCCTCCTTTGAGTCTTTGGTTTTAACCTAAACCCCTGGAAGCAGCAAAATGTCAGGACAATTTCCCTAACCCCCCTAACATTTTCCCCTTTCTTTTTCACAAGCCTTTTAAACGTATATAATGGAGGCGTATGTAGAGTATCCACACGAGATGCAAGTGTTGACCTTGTCAGCTGTGCTCTCTGTGGGTTAATGAAAGAAAACAGCAGTGCAACGTGATCCCGTGTGAAAGCAGTGTGATTTTACCCACCTCTGCTGCGTGTGTGTGTGTGTGTGTGTGTGTGTGTGTGTGTGTGTGTGTGTGTGTGTGTGCGTGTGTGTGTGTGTGTGAGGGTGGGGAGAGTGTGTGTGTGTGTGAGAGAGAGAGAGAGATAAAGAGAGAGAGTGTGTGAGTGTGTGAGCATGTGTGTGTGTGAGCGTATGTGTGTGTATGAGCATGTGTGAGTGAGCGTGTGTGTGTGTGTGTGTGTGTATGAGTGTGTGTGAGTATGAGTGTGTGTGAGAGTGTGTGTGTGTGTGAGCGTGTGCGTGTGTGTGTGTGTGAGAGAGATAGAGAGTGTGTGTGATTGTAACAGAGGCACAAAAGAGAAAAAGTCTCTGATAATCTCCTTCCTCTTAGTTTTGATAAATTGGGAAAAAATGCTTACTTTTCTATGGAGCTCTTGTTTTATTAAGCTTTCCAGGCTTGTTACGGGAATGCTCCTATTCCGTACAGAGCTGTTGGTGTCAGTAACTCGTGCTCAGGGAGTTGAGTTACGGTTACCTGCTGAATGAACTTGTATTGAAGGGTTACACTCATGAGGCTAATGCCTCAAAACTGGTGGAAATCAGTTAGCCAGCCGCTAGCCTGAGCCTGTTTCTGATGGTCAGGCCTGCGTCAGTCTGGAGTTACGCGTGTATGTGTGTGTATATTATGTATATTACGCATGTATTAGCACAAGCGAGTGCGGCAGGAGTCTCATTAGAGTGCTGCAGCCCTGCGTAACCCACCACGTCACTCACCATTAGCACGACCACTATTAGCAAAACATTAAAACACAGCCTCTCTTCCTCCAGAAGGGATTTTCAGGTTTTTAAATCAGACTGGGTGCGTTGGGATGCGTAAATGAAATTAAAACTTATTAAAACATCCGCACACTGATCAAAGTTGCGCTCATAAACAGATTCGCTGAATCAAAGAAATTAGTCGCTGTGCCTTTCCAGAGAAGTTCTGGCCGTTTACTGGCTCGCTGCATAATGAAGCGAGACGGAGCTGGAGGAGGCTTGAGGGGAATGGAGATGTCTGTTTGGTGAGCGCATCCTTCAGGAGGCCATTCATAGCTTTAATGCTGGATCTCACAGTGGATTAGGACGGAAGATCTGCGCGCGGCTGCTGTTAAGCTGTTAGCTGAGGAGAGAGCGTTCTCACACGACGACGGATCAGAACCCAATGGCGCTCTGCCATGCAGCAGGTTCAAGGACGTTATGAGCCAAAAGCGTCTGTGGAATAGGGTTTAAATAGTATTTGTGTTGCAGTGTAATATTGACTTTAAAGTGGTGCACAAACTGAGCGAGACCTCGCAGACATTACAGTATCAGTGGAAGTGATCGTTTTCATTTTGAATCAGCAGTTTGTCTGGACGTAAAGCTTACGTTCACACTGCAGATTAATGCAGCGGAAATTGGATTTCAATTTGTTTTGTCACCTCTTTATTAATTAATTTGTTTGTTTGTTTGTTTACCATATGAACATCAAAAATCACACTGAATATGACATTTTTACTTCAGCCCTGGAAGTAAATTTGATACAAATAAATCGAATCAGACATTAGATAGTCAGATGATGATGATGATGTGTGTATGTACTGTATATATACATCACACACACACACACACACACACACACACAGACACACACACACACACACACACACA